CGGTTAGAAGGGTTTTTCTGGTCGGATACACTTGACGACATGCTCATACAGGTGATGCGCGTCTAATGAAGCATCACGACACCTTCCATGACTGAGCTTGTTGGCCTGACATCGTGTCCTGAAAAGATAACTAGGCTAAAATTACTTATATTCACCTTGTGTCACACTTCGTATAACTTGGTTGATTTTATTCGTAGAACAGGTGCCATTATATCCGCTCGCGCATGACGGCGCATCGCAATAAACATCTATCTATACTCCGCATTCATATCGATCATGTAGTTAATTTTCAATAGAAGAGGCCAACACCACATGCTATCTGCGACTGGCTTGAACAATTGTGAGATATGGTAAGGTAGTGAAGTTGAAATCCTGGAGTTCTGCTCGTACTAGATGTTTTAGCAGTAATTACCCCCACCCCCCACACACGCCGTCGCCATCCCGAGCAGGATGAAAGTTAGCCTTCTGACAGCCGACTTTGCTTCCTGCTCTGAGTAAGCCGTCACCTGGTCGAAAGAAACGAGCGAACATCCACAATAGTTTCTATCCGCTTTCACTATTTTGGCTCTGCTACCCGTTCCATCAGGACCATCACTACACTCGGTCCCTTTGAATTTGGTACATGAGCACAGATCTTTCCGCGGGTCTCCTTCTCATGTCGGCAAAGCTGTCCCGACAGACGCAGACTCACATTAAAAGTTAATCAGCTTTCTAATTTATATTAGTATACTACTCTAAGATACTAACATGTCTATATTTCAATAACTATCATTATGAAATGAACAGGTAACCTCGGCTAACCAATTGACAAAATCATCCTGGGCTGTGGAGTAGCCCTATGAGGAGCTCTAATGCCACCTTTCAACCCAGCATTCCTCACGGTGCTGAGTAATTAAAGCGAACATCGCCTCTGCTGTATCGCTTAGCCTTCGTACGTTTTTCAACTGCACAAACTTCTTCTTCATTCTCAAATAATGGCAGCTATGAAAAGTTATATCACATATTGACGACTCCCATCATTGTTAACAGAATTGGACGATTCATTGCATGAGACAGAATAACGCGTCCAGGGTCCGTCTAATAGTACCATCGGTAAGGATAAAAACATGATTCATAACACCATAAAAACAAGGTGTTTCCACCTATCAAACAATATTTTAACAAGAATATACGTTGAATGAACAGGAATATATATGAAAGGTCTATAAATTAGTGCAGCTTTCATAATAATACGAAGGTCCTTACGCGCAAGTCGTCGATTAGTCCGATTGTCAAAATTGCTTTTGCCGCCCAATATGAAATAATACCGTTAGACCAAAAGGCGTAAACACAATGGGACACGTTGTAATGAGGCGCACCGAAACGTGAAATAAATTTACCCTTCGGATGGAATTACTGAAAATTAAATAAGTAATGCAAAATGCCAAAACTAATTAAAAAAAACTGTTGTCCGTCAATACTTGTGTGTTATACTTAGTATAAACGAAATGTGTTTTTAGGTGCAGGTTCTACAGCAGGTTTGAAGAAGAATCAATTTTTATTAAATACCATACATTTAGGTACGTTTATGCGCCGATAACTGTTAAGTAGCAATGTTTCGCAACAATTTACGTCTCCTTGTATTGATGCTGGTGGTACTCGAGACGTCATTAGCGGGAACGTCTGACTGGAACCCGCCATCACGACATCGATGAACGGCTCCGTCTGATCGTTCTGGGCGATACGAATCCGTTAATTTAGAATAGAACACAGTGTACACATGGCGCAAGCCTTTGACCAAATTCGTGGGCTGAGCTATGCAATCGCTATCGACGCAACTGCAAGTAAGCTATACCTAGTAATACAATAAAGTTATCAAAGAATAAATTTTCTTATTTCAGATTTGCTGCTTTATTTAAAAACAAGAACATTTTGAATGGCGACTTAGTCAAGGCTCGTATTTAACATTTAGCCATTTCGAGATAAAATACTGTGAAATAGTTGCTTGACAGCGGCAGAGAAAGTCAATATGGCCATGTGACATCATCCATTAGGTTAAAGTACCTATACCGAGATAGGTTTATTATATACGAACGTGCGTTATATACATGGACCAGGCAATTACATATTCGTTAGCAGCTCTTCATACTCGAGGATTAATTTTGCTCTACATAGAAAAAAAGCCAAAACTTATAAACGAGCTTCAACGAGAAGCTCAATAATTCAATGCTACAAACAGATATGTATCTAGCTCAAAATAAAGATCTTCGAAATAAAGTCCAAAGAAAAGTATAGTAGTTGACGATGTATAATTAAATAGAAAAGCAAAATCCACCGTTTCTCAACGGTCTAGCATTATTAAACATAGTAGACGTGTTATGTCGATTTAGGAATCCTTCGATTTATCCAAAATTATCATTGCTCCTTTGGAGGAGCCGCTACCGATTGACGATCCTTTAGAACGTTTTACAATTTCACAACAGCCAAATAATTGGAATATAATTTAATAAAATTCAATGCTAGATTTTGAGAGGACTTTTTGGAGCACAATTAAATAATTAGTTCTCACCTGAGTCACATGTGTTTACTTCATTTGCGCTTCAGTTGAATCCATGAAACTCATGATGGTGAAGCTCTTTTTGTACATTGCGCTCTGCCAAGCTCATTTATTTTTCAACTTAACGATAGGACGCTTACTTCGTGGGGCTTTCTTGTTTAGACAGTCTTCTACACCTTTCTGTCAATTCTCCATATCTAAGTACCTCTTGAAAGGGGTGCCTAATAAACTCCTTTACAACTAAAACCATACGCTTCTGTCAAACTAGGCAGTAAGCATCCGAAGTTGTTTACTAAATAAGAAGTACCAGAGTTTTTGTTCCCATGTCAATAAGTTATTTTATATATTTCTCGTCATTGTTCATGACTTTCTCCTATATTTCCACCAAATGATCGATGACGAAGGTAAAGCGACGAAAGTCATTGCTCATTAAATGGAAAAATGAATGTCGGGAGTATGTGAAGGGTGCAATAAAACTTCCTATTCGAACTGCAGGAGGGCAGCTTTGTTGATGTTTGTCACGTATGGATCTGCGTTGTCCTCGGTGGCGCGGGTACCTGACTTCATTTGCTGTGGTCTTTTCTCCTGAAAGCCTGGTCGACTCGACGCAACTGGGCCACATAAACGTGCCGGTCAACTTCTGGTTCGACGAGCAGTTTCCGGTAAAGCAAGCGCTTGCAGTCCCAGCGAACGCAAGGCTGGACCTTCTTTTAATAAGGGTCTGGCTGGCTTGACTTTCTTCCTAGGCCCATCTATTCCTATCTATGACTCACGTTGACGCACAAACTTCGCTGATGACGACTGATTACCATTCTGTGCCAAAAATCGATCATTGTGGCCGCTTGCGCCTGCCACCGGATGAAATGTTGAGATCTAATACAGTAAAAACAAACACGTTTCTAAACAATATATCAGAAGTAAACGAGGAGTGAAGGAAAGTGAAAACATTAAAAAAAAAAAACTTTTGAAAACTTGTTACTCGACGTAATATACTGTTTGTAAAATTGTTACGGCGTGTATCGACTATAATTAAGAAAGTCTAAAATTAATAACGAAAATTGTGGGCAACAATTTATTAGGAAAACAATACACCCCCGCAGAACCCGCCTGAACGCAGTCCTAGACAGGACAACGTACGCTTGCCTAATCAGTTTAGCACTATATACGGCGAAACGATAGATGCTGCTGACAATGAATTTTTAGTTGAGAATCTTCACGCATTATTCGAGCAAAAAATCGCTTATTATCTAATACGCACGATGGTACTTATTGTATTCTACGCCGTATATAGCGAGACTTACAGAGTTACTAAAAAATTTATCGGTAATATGTGTTTGAAGCTCTGAATATAGGTTCAACTCGCTGGCAGGTGTGTTGGGTAATAACAGAATGCATCATTTAACGAAAAAGTTAAACAACAGCCGCGATTTGTTTTATCACAGTATGCTCCTATAGTGATACTATAATATATACCATAATACTAAAGATCATAGACTCGCTGAAACAATTTGCGTTAGTAGTATTCAATATGTTACTGACCTATATGGCGCTGACGTTTATTCTGACCCGCCTAAGTAAGGATCATTATTTTTCTTGACTACATCTTTTCCTTATAGCGCCTAATTAGTCGATTCTGAGCATATAACTAGAGATTTGCTAAAGGTGTAGCTCGTGCACCCAACCTGAACTTTTTGTCTTTAATGTACCTAGGACCCATTCTGGATGCATGAGGTGTAATATGAGGGTTTTTAAATTTGGATTTGTTTGTTTCTATAACACTTTTAAGCCATCGGAACAACAAGCTTTCGGTAGAGCGTTGAAAAGGCAAAAGATTTAGCCAGGGTGAACCTTACTGGGCATATCTGGCATTTCTTTAATAGACCTATGAAAGAGCATGGTAACCATATTCCATAGTAAACATTCGCTAGCCTTAGTATTTAAACCAGCGATGGCTGCGTGCTCACTCATGGCTATAATTACAACCCATACAAAAAAAATGCGCACTAGCCGCTTAGACCATGCCGTCTTTATCCGAATTCGTTGTGTGAAACTCCATCCAAAATTAGGAACTTTTCAGATAAAGAAACCGTGTCCTAGTTAATGTTTAGAAAGCGAAAAAATATGATGTGTACCTAGTCTACGTAAATGCTGAATTTATATCTAGCATAATACATCACATCTCGGTGATACGATGAATAAGGAAGCGTATTTTTGGTAAGGTTCCAGAACTCGAACCTCAGCTGAAACTCGATGTTTGTTCCAAATGATTTTTGCTCCTACTATTAGCCCACCAAGGAGTTTCATTGGATCAGTCCTGATCAGATATGATTCTAGCTGTATTCATGTCCGAGTGAAGTATTCCGAAGGAGCTCGATGACTGGTTTAATTATATTGTGTATTCGTTAGCGCACTAGTAATTAAGACAAAGTGTTATAACTTCAAACAAACGAAAAACGATCATCTAGAAATCTTTAAAAACCCCAATACGTTTATTACATTATATTATAATGACATGCAGCACTTTAATATAGTTCTATTACGATATTTTGGGTCGCTTATATTACATTTGCCTCGACACAACGTCGGCAGAGTTTTAACACCCCTCTATTTTGCTGTTTGGCCCACCTGCCAACTTTAACCCATCAGTTGTCGTTCCATTCGTTGTACGTCACTTTTCTCTTCACAGTACACCCCCTATCCTATATTTATTTTATTAGCCCTTATTATGAAGAACTTTACCTTCCCACTAGTTCATTGCAACTTACTGGAAATATTCATGGTGTTATATAGATCCACTGTTATGATTCCATTAATACTCTTGTCCATATTTGTGTAAAAATTTTCCTAGAAAAAAATTTTCTTTCTTTGCTAGAATTTTTCGCGGCGTCACAGACGTTCTAATATTTGCTTTATCCATGTATTCGATGCAGATATTCTCTTCACAAGGTCGTTCCAGGACAGTTGCTCACATTACATCCCATTGAATATTGTTGAAGGTGTGAAATGTGGTCTGAGCAAGTACTAACGTAGAAAATATGGGTAAATCTTATGGGCAAGACTGGTGATAGTCGTCGTCGTCGTCGTCAATATCCAATCCCCTGGCCTTTTTGAATTGAACTCGTGCAGCAGCTACTTATAAGTATACGCGCTTTGTCAGAGATCTTCCACGCATTCTCGCAAAATATGACAAATAAGATTGTACCACGAAAAAAAAAACACATGCTTAAACCTCATTCGTTCTTATAAACCTTTTCGACGTTTAAAATTATCGAACTACAAGAAAGATACCTACTTTTTGCAGTTTACTAAGTTAGTCATTTTCAGCTGGATGCAAATAGCAATGACGTAAAAATTCGGCAAGGAAAAAATGTAATATTTTATCGTTGTTAAACAATAATATTATTGTTCTCAGTGACGACATATACACCAAATATCAGAATAAGAAAGTACGATTTTTTATATCTATTTGACAGAGTAATGACTATATAGAATATTATGCTAAACTTGGGTCATCTGCATGAAGACCGGTGTAGACTATAATCCATGAAACGAGAAATCCAGCAAACGTAGTCATAAATCCTTCCTTAGCGAACTCCCACGAATCGCCGAAGTCTTCTTCATCCACTTGCTGAAAGTACGATGCGTAGATGTATACAAGCGCTGTGTTCACCATGCAGAAGCTGAAAAGGTCGACGCAAAAGTAGAAATCCGAATGGACATGTAAGATTTAATAGTGTGGTAGACTTAGTCTGAGCATTTTCTAAGGCTGTCTTCCACGTACGCTAGCCGAAAACATGCGTACCTTTCACTGAACACGAACCGAGTGTGGCGGTACCTATAGTAATCTTTATGCTTCGCTTTTTTAATGGCTATTCGGAAAGAAACTAGCTTGTAATTCTTTGTTCATTCGGGGTAACTATTGTTCGGTGCCAACAAGCAAGTTACGTGGTGTGCAATCGGTACTTACAGGACAATCCCGATAATTCCCTTGAGTGGAAGAACGCCCCAGATGATACCTATTATGACAGCGAACAACTGCCGAAGCCAGAAGATAACGTCTAAAAATTCTTCCTGTAAAGCATAATCCGTTTGTTTGTGTGCAACACGGTATTCTCCAATCCACGAACGACCGTCGTGAGATTTTGTGATCCGAATGCCAGCGGGACAAAACAGAAGAAGTTCCCATGCGTTAGCATATACCATTTTCAAATCGGGGCATGTGTCTAAATAAGGGCAAGCAGATGTACAGTACAATACTCTAATTGCTATAGTCGTCATCGTCATATATTATTTGCAGATCGCTTCTACCATGTACAACCTATATATATCTGCTTTATTGATTAAGGTTGGACGGCATGGTAAATCTCACGGAAAACAAAAGCTCGCATGAACGCACGATCAATCGAGATACGATAGAAAAAAAAAAATCAGCAGAGATATTACCATATCAAAGAGACTGCCGGAAGCCGAAAACGTATGCGCTTACTGAGTTTTCCATTAGTTTTCTTTCGAATAAATATATGAATACAATTAGGAATTGCTTGCTGCTTAGTTAGAAGCAGTGCTTTCTGAGTATATCGCAACATTGTATTGTTCTGTGACCAACCAAATTGGAGGATAACATATCTGGAATTAGAAAGATATCCGCGAGAGTACATGCAATGGGAAAACCATATTAATTCTTCGCTAAAGTTCCAAACAAACAAAAACCTGTCCCGCAGCATAACATAAACAGGCCGGTCATCTGCATAATTTGCAATACCATAAAGCATGTCGTTCTTCGCGCATTGTTATGGCTGATCGGCGATTCGGAGAGAATCGATCTCAGCAGAGACATACAGAGTGAAAAAGACGTTTGAACATCGACATTTTAGGCTTACAACAGTGTAGCACGTCTCAGAAATGCTTTAAAATCGACCGATATGTGGACGTACTGATCTATTGATCTTCAATAACCTGCTTCTAGTTAACAAAAAAAAAAGGCTTTGTTGTGAGTGTTGTACACACTCACACAGTGGGGTTCTACTAGATCTCTTCACTCGTCGCACAAAATTTGAATTTGCTACTGATTAGCGTCTGTTTTCAAATGTGGAGAACAAACAGAAGTAAATTCGTTTTTGTATTATCAAATAAATTAGAGGAAGTAAAAGGCACTGCAACGCAGTTCCCGTACGCGACTCACCTTATCCGGCCAGTCTGAATTGGCTGTAAGGATTCTCTGATAAAGGGGTGGAACTTCTGCGGGATCCTTTTTGCGGATACTATTGGCGCGCTGCCTCACATTACCTGTTGTGGCACTCATATCGTTTGAAACACGTTTCACACACGCACGGAGGGCAGCAGGACTTCTGGAACCTGACCACTTACTTCAGACAGTTGTACACAGTGTCCTAACTACAATCAACGGTAGTTCTATCGTGGCTAGGCAAAAGGGTTTGTGCACGGTGAGAAATCCCGGTGCCTGCTACCAATGGAGTACTGGACCAGGAGGTAAATTTTGAAACGACCCGGGTTTCACCGTAGAAAAATAAAAGACAAAATGCCAGTTGTTGTATCCTTAAGTAGAAACTGGACCAAACGGAGGGTAACAAAAGTACAGCGAAGACAGACGCAGCCGCTCCGCTTGAGGTTTACTCCTCGTCCAACACAACAAGTCGACGGAGCCGGACGAATTTCTTAGATGGCTAGATGGAGCAACCATACCGAAATGTACCCGAACAACCGGAAAAGAGGTATAAGTTTTCGAGTTCCTTGCTGAAATCGTTACAACTTGGATAGTGTGGATCGTTTGAAATTTATTAACAACAGTGTAGCCTGTAATATATAATATCTAAGCAATGCCCAAACATGGCTTATTTTATGTCTGTGTTGGACCTTAAACGTGCTAACTGACGGAAGCCCTCTCTGTCGAATCATGTGCTTGAATCAATAACCAGACACAGATGACACAAATGTTTGAAAAGTCTGAACATCGGTAGCAGCTGTAAGTATAAATGAAGAGAGATCTTTATAGAATTATTTTTCAATGTATATAAACTATAACGTTGGGTCGATAAAGTGCATTACTTGGTCACCTAAATAAAACGTGATTAGTAATGTGAAAATTTTAATTTAGAGCCCTGCGCGATGATTGTCTATGAATCAGTAGTTGTTAAGGTGGGTTCTAGCTGATTTTTTGGCCCAGAAGCGGAATCTAGTAAGTGGCTTTGATTCAAAGCTGTATTCCATAGTTTTCGCTTATGAGTTTTGAAAAAACATAGCTTGTTTTTTATCCGTTTCGGTATCTGTAGGCCGCTACCGGCGTCCACGTCAACGGTTCGGTCAACCCAAGTTTGTTACAGCAATTTTGAATAATTGTATAAAATTTTACCAACAAAAACGGATAAAATCATCTATTAGGTAACTATTAGGTAAACAAAAGCGACTTCCACTTGAAGCCAGACTTTGGAATAAACGCCGCAAACTGGAACTAATTTGTTTATACTAATTACGTTGTAGAAGTTCGAAATATGGTTCCCAAACTAAAATCCATGGAAATGCTTCATAAGCATGAGTTCGCCTGTGGTTTTAGATGCGAATTCCTACTGAAAGATAGATATCTTAAGTGTTTTAAAGGTATTGCTAATTAAACAAATGCCAAATAATTAGTCACGACTATTCCATGTTACATGAAACTCCTATTATTTCTACCGATACAATAATAGCCAATGAAATGTTCGTTCTTTTTTAGAGTGTCATCGAAGCACGGCGGTGGAATTGAAATTAGTCATGGCCTTGGAACAGGGTCTGGTCCTATTACGACGCCTTCTCGACTCCTTGAGTTCGGCCGGCCTTGTCGAATTCGAGCTTGTACCTCCTTCAAGTGTCAGTTCAGTAGATATTGGTGTTGTCGAGTCAGCGTTACATACGTTCGCGCAGGGGATCGTGCAGTTCGTCAATGAAAAGCCATTACGTAAGCAATCTCTGAGGTGTTATGGCGGTCTCGCATACCTCGAGCTCTCATCTCTCGTCATTCGTCCTCGACAGATCCATTAGTTTATTGTATAATCATATCGTACGTAGCGTAGACTTCAATTACGATAGGTAAATTTAGCTTTAGGTTAAATAGAAGCCAGAGGTCTGTCTGGAAGAACTAAGTATTAATAAACTAGCGACAAGGTTAGCTCTATGGTGGGTAAATAAAAGGGCTGATGAGACAAAAATGGCTTACCATTGTATTTTAGAACCATATACTTTTGTGCGATTCGACTAAATATAGTACGCGTACAGTATGTTTAAAAAGAATAAAGAGTACACGTACCAAATACCAAGTTATATATATTCATTGTATTAAACCACAATGGTCACATGTCACTGGATATAGATGGCCATGTGTCGTTGGCGAGGGTTCACAGTAGAGGAAAGTAAAGTCGGCTTACTTGGATTGCTTAAACATTATAAAGAAGCCAAATGTTGCGAAAGCCGTAAAGTAGCTCTTAGAATTGCACGTCATGCACGACCATGTAGTTTCAATGGTACTCTCCACGTACATACTGTTGGCATCGCATCGATCAGCAGTATGAGCGATATAATGACTTTTTTTACTTTCAGCCAACGCAAGGTACGAAATTTAAAAAAATTTTGGTAGACGGTCAAAACTTATATGACATCTAAGTTGGCTCACCTCGCCGTAGCGCTTGAATAGAAATGGCGAGATCATCGAAAGGGGACTTAAAATTTCATTATATTCGTTCTAACATAGAGAATCAAGTCGCATACATTTCTTGCAACGCGTTACTCGTCTTTCTTTTATTCTTTAGATTGCCCCTGACAACCGGCTTCGCAAAAGGCAGTTGTCATATAATTTTACCTATTGCTGCTTTCGATGGCTATTGTTAAGCTTAAGAAGAGAGCTGTCGGAATACAGTATACTATATATCAGGGTGTTTACTACCATCGTTTTTTTGTGCATGAAAAATTGCTCTCTGTTATTCGAGGTTGAAGTTTTTATTAACATATTTTGTCTAATTGAAAAAAATACTTGCCACCAAATGCATGTGTCCCAACATTTTCTTAAACGATCAACATAGTTTGAAATTGTGTAATACTTGAAAAAATGATATACTGCGCAATGTAAAGCACCATACAATCGAAAGGACTATCATGCTAAATAGGTACTTGATAAGTCTCGATTTATCTCCAAAAGTATTGTATCGTAGGGTAAACTTTGCGACCTCTAACGGATAAACCACGAGTAATGTCTGATTTATCTTTTATATCTCTTCCTATTACTTGCCGTATATCAGATCTTGGACAGGTTCAGATCAAGGCTGCTAGTCGAGAGGTTCTTGAAGGCCGCATTCAGGCCTTTGTACACCGCAAAGAGCTTGAACGCGAAGCTATGCTATCATATATAGAAGAGGGCCAGTGCTCAAGAACCGTACCATTCAGGTAAGGATAATAATTTTGTTTATGATAATTACTTAGGTGATTGAATATATGTTTTTGTGGTCTTCTTAAGTGTAAGGTGTGAACAAAGGCAGTTTTCGCATGATGTTCGTATTTTGTAATCCGTAAACAGAATTATCCAAAAGAGTAGCTAAAAATCGATTGTGGTAAGCTCGTGCATAGTATCATCTCTGCTGGTAGAATTACAAAATAGCCCGTGTCAGGGTTCTCGTGTGGTCCGCATCAGGCTATTTTTCTTGCGTTATTTTAATTCGTCATGCTATATAGTCTTAAACTATTTTTACACTCGTTATCGACTGATATCCAGTTACCGATTACAGAGTACCTGGAGGAGCATTCACGAATTTAGCAAATGCAAAGAATGTAGCTTTTAATTATTTGCTAGTTGACGTGTTTGACAAAAATCAGGTATCGCCGCATCAGCGTGGAGCAAGTCAACAACGAAGTGGGCCCGCAGGATCTGGATAAACCTTTTCCTGTCAACGTTGGTCGCGAAGAGTCGAGTCTCCTTGAAGACAGACTTTCCACGGTTGAAAAACACCTCGGATTATCAAAACTGAATCAGCAGGTATGTATAATAACATGTTAAGAGGTTGCATACGAATTCACGTTAAAGCGTGCTGATATTCAGGTTTGACTCTTTCATTACTTTAAGTGTTACTGCCAAATATATATCTTAGCTGATAAAAAAATGCTAAATGACCTTATTCTGTGCTTCCAGACAAGTTCTGCTGGCGTCTCTGCGGTGACAAGGTCAAATCGAAACGGCGCATCGACTGTGGCACCTGGGATTTCGACTGGGAGTGGTTCAACCTCTGGAGGATCATCGTTCCGCCGGACTTCGTCGGAAAGTATCCTCGAGAAACCTGGCAAATGTCCGACGTGTATGAGAACCACACGTGAAGAAGTAAACGGGAACCTGAAATCCTTGGAGCTTCTACACCGAATGAAAGCAATTGAAGATCGCCTCCTTTATCTTGAGTCGGTTTCGCCGGAATATGGCACAATGATACAAACAACCTAAGCTATCTAGTCGCACTGCACACGACAACCCCATGTTGTGAATGCGGCATATACAAAGATGTATATATTGTATCCTATTGCCCTATGATCTAATCTCTAATTGTTTAAATCGAACAGAGCTATACGCAGATCATCAATGAAATCATAAGTTTGCTGCCGGGTGTGTCTGTGTGTCCAACTACCTTATTCTTTAAACCAAAAACACTATATTTTTACGATCTCACGAGGTAACATACTGCTATGCGAGGGGAGATCTCGTCAAGGCGTACGTACAAACTTTAGATATTTTCGAGGTAAATATTTTAGAAGGGAACATATATATATATATATATATATCTCGAGATTGTAAGGAACGAAAGAAGCACACTGTTAATAGTTAGTCGTTTTTGATGTTGGTTTTCTTCCATGTATCATCGTGAAATCTTAGCGATTTTGCTTGCATTTTGCGCCGAGTAGGCTCTTTTTTAAAGTGTCGCCCAGAAGGCCTATGTCGGCTTTAAGAACTATTCACAGGCACTGGCAAAAAAGAGCCTGTAGCAAGGTTTTAGATTTTTCCATAGTTTGAGGAAAATGCGTCGTTTCAAAAACTGGACTTCGCTACTGAGTACGCTTCTGATACTTTGGGCCTCTCACCTCTAGATTCTTGGATCTTGTAAGCTTGTAGCAAAATTTGACGAAGTAAAACTGGCCAATAGAATACGTGCAGATTATAAATTATATAAAGTACGCATTAGATTTATCGTCAGAAAATTCGATATTTTTATGCTTTCAGATGTTTCGTCTCTGTAGGCTACTACTGAAATACTACGCACCTGTTCCGATAATATGCAAACGAGATCTTAGGACTATGTTATCTAATACAAAATTTAACCGTCCTAATGAACAGTCGAGCATAAAATATGAAATCTGTATCTTCCTTAAAAACGTTTTTTTGTGAAGCCCGGTACGTTCACTGCAATTTTGTAATTTTTTAATTTAATTTTCAATGTTCTTGTCACAAACGGAATCATTCTAGATAAATAAATGCCTTTTTTCGGTGAGTGTTTTTATTATCATTTTTTAACTACCTTCGGAAATCAGGTAACTATATTACATAACACAGACGCCCTTTTATTTATAGAAATTTACCATTGAATATGGCAAGTGTCACCTTGTATTTACAATGATGATGTGGATGTGTGCAAAAAATACCTAGAAAGTATACGTAGTATACATTAGTAGCATAATATTGTCATATAATATAGTTACCATTTATATATATTAGACATAAATTATCTGAACAATTCATTGGTTCTTTAGGATACTATTACTCTTTTTCTCGCCTGCGTTGAACTCGTGGATGGGTATACATAAATATAATGGCCCACCCAGCTGAGGTGACGTACCGAGTTTATAGAATAAGACTTATGCGGCGACATATACACAACTTATGTCCATGAATAAATATAGGATAAAGGATAAAAAATAAAAGGTTATGAATAGTTCGGATATTCAGAAGGGGCTTGTAAGACGCTGTGATGGCTTACGAAGGTTCCGTGCTGCGGCGCAATGAGGGATTCGTACGGACACTGGTCGTCATGGCTCATTCGATGTTGGGCGTATAATGACGTCGGGTGAGTCATTCGGGACGGATATATTTGATGACTCATCTGCGGGCTTTCCGACGCCGAAATTCCATCCAGAGGATGATATCTGCAAATTAAATGGGTACAATGTGAACTTTACTACGAAATCACATAGATCTCTCTGGGCTGGCGTTTCTGTTTTCGAGCGCATTTATCTAGGGTATATATGATGGAAGACACCTTAGATAGCTTGGCTTTAAGGGTCTTTGCAGGACATGTCGTTCCTGAATATACTCATATAAGGAGCAGTTCTTTGCTTTGGTCTTGAACAACTTGGCTTACTCCTTTTTTATTGCCGACCTTCGCCTACTCTTTACGCCTTTGTAGGGTGCGTAACTATTAATGGGATAGGGAAATAATGAAGCATTATCTAAACGAGGCGCCCTACCTTCGTTATATTCAAAAACCATACGATCTCACCTAGACGCCACAGCTGTTGCTTGTTGATGCATCTGCAATTGGTGTTGTTGAAATTGGCTTGATAGAGAAGTGTCCAATTCGTACCATCGATCCACAGCTCTGTAGTCTAAGACGGGTTGACCATTAGCGCCAGCGGTGGGTTTACCACGCAGAAAAAGACTGCGTGGCATTATGGCCGGACTTTCTAGAGATGGCGGTAGGGGTGATGGTGCCGTGGTAGCAACGGTGGGCGTCGGAGAGGACGGCGAATATAAAAGCGAATGATGCGCCGAAGAAAACACGGGACTCGTCGATGTCCGATGACTATTCAATTGCGGAACCAAATTCTGGGTTGAGCCAGTAGTTCTATGGTGACAGGGCGTTGAACTTGCAGTTGGATGATTATTGGCAGTGGAATTTGTTTGAGGAAAAGTAGGTGAACTAGTTAAATGTCGCGTCGGCAACGGACGATAAAACATCTTGCTGGATTTATAGTTTATCAAATGTTGACCATGAGTGGAGTGTGATGTGTGGCCGTAGATTGGCAAAACGGCAGAGTTGCAAAGAGGCATTGGGGACGTAGCTCCATCTGGTGGCTGGGGCGTGAGCGAAGTCGATGAACGCGAGTCACAACCGTCTCCTCCTCCTCCTCCTCCTCCTTCTCCTACGCAAATCATTTGTGTGAAGTAAAATCAAGACGTTCAGGGATATTGTAAGAAGGCAAAAAGAAAAAGGAATATGATGGTTGTAACTTAGTTCTTATTTTTACATCATCACAGAATAAAGTCTAAAGGGACACACTATATGCAAACAAAAAGAGCTTAGTTCTAGTAATGAACAACACGTTCTAAGCGGTGTGAGAATTACGATGCTGGATTGAAGATTTTTTTTCATAACATGCGGTTTCCTGGTGGGGTTTACGTGATCAGTTTCTCGGTCTATAATCCCCTCCCCCCCCCCCCTTTACCTTCAAAAGCGATCCGTCTATTTGTCGTATCTCCGGCGGAGGAAACTGTGTTGCTATGATACGACGTCCATGTGTCGTGCAAATCATTCGTCTGAGTATAACTCGAAGCAGTGGACTCCGGTGCCGTTGTGACGTAGGGAAATGACATTGGTAAACTGCCAAGCGAGCCGAACGTTTTGTTCGGCTCTATGGTGAAAGCTGGATGACTATCCACCTCGAAGGGTCGACTCCTGTTTGGCGATGCCGATGGGTCCACGGCAGCTTGACACAGCGCATCGTTACTAGGAGCGCCTTGGAGAGATTTTTTTTTATTTTGTTGAATAGAATTGTTACAATTGCTACTAATGGAGCTATCAGTGTTCTTGCTATTTGGTTTTGGCCGAAAGTAATTCATCTTGCTGGAACCAGGTTGTGAAGCGCCATTGGATCTCTGAGTGAGATTTTGCCTAGGAGTGGCCTCTTCGCTCTTAGCTTTCCGCCGTGGCTGGTATTTGTAATTAGGATATTCTTTTTTATGAAGACTTCGTAACCTTTCAGCTTCTTCGACAAATGGCCGTTTTTCGTCTTCGGTCAATTTTCTAAAAGAAAAGGCCAAAACAAAGCAAACGACAAAACACATCTCATATAGAGTAGCAAGTAATACTATATTTTACACGGTTCATCAAATAACTGTATGATACATTAAAAATTCACGAATTTCGTTAAAACGATGTAAATGGAGAGTCTCCAACCGCAGATGAACTTCATAAGGAAAAACGTAACAGCAGCTAATATTTTTTAGATATAGAACGAAGCTACGGAAGCTACGTCACCCGTAGCCTTAATGAAGATTTCAACGTTTAAATCAGTTATGGCTGATTGACAATCGATTGTGATTCACCAGTGTTAGCTAGAAGCTAACATTACAGCAGTCGATGCTATATAAAAGTAATACAGTAAAAGGTTATTCTATACAAATATTGTTAGATGATTATTTAAAAGACACCCAGGCGACTCTTATGAGGGTTCATTCCATTATCATTCCCCGAACATAACTAGACAGTCTAAATGTAGGATCGCTAATTTTCAGCTCTATATTAAGATTAGACGCTGCGTAGCTCCTAGTAAAAAGGCTCAAACAAAAGCAGGCCTCAAACAAATCTAAATGGAAATTTCAGCACGAGAGCATGCCAAAGAATTGTTAGATAATTCTATCGCCTGTATTTTTATGTTAGTTCATCGTATAATACTGTACCCGTGTCCTTATATAGATAAGATATATATATCGATAAGACATGACTTTTTTTGCAATATAATGCCTAAATTTACAATGAACGCTCTTTTAGCCTAACCAATTTCTTTTCATCCGTTTGAATACCTTGAAGGAAGACTTGACATATAGTACATTTGGTGAGCCCTAAAGTTATAGCTATTATTCTGATATAATTCCGACCTCGGATTGTCTTGGCTATCGTTAAATCAATTACGGTGCTGATGCCAGTTGCCAACCTATGTTTTACCAGTTCGAATACTGTTTAAATTTTTATTTACCACGTATAAATAGAAGAAGGAGCGTGGCTTCAAACCTTTTGTTTACATCCTTTTTACAGTGAAAGGTGCCGCATATCAACAAATTCAAAGCTTGTTAACAAAGTTAGCTTGCATGGTCCTTAATAAGGTAACATGTTTATTATTTGTAACTACATTTTGCTGGTAATAAACTATTCAATCCAGATAATAAATTCTATTTTTTTTCATTACATATAGCTGTCGTTAAAATGGCCAACTGATGCTGGTCAACTCAAAGCGTTTCACAGCCCCGCGTTTAGAGACAGGCGTTGCAACGGACCTCCTCTGGTAAAGGATAAATAAAAGGGTTAAACGTGTTTTGCTTATACGTTTCAACAAATACGATAGCGAGCGCGATCGATAATTAGAAACAGAATAAACAAAACCTTCTCAAGGTTGAATTTACACCTTCTTCTCTTCCTGATTTTGCCCCAAAACCGATTTGCAAATTGAGAAAATGCCATAACCAAAATGTTTGGACTACCTAAAAATGTAAAGTAGTATAGTCTTCATTAGCCTTTTCAGGTGACACGTTTAGTTATATGACCCCTATGCAATGCAATGCAACTTTAATTTGTTCTCTAAGCAGACATGAAGAACAGTCATACATTTCCCTAGCTCTGGTTGAATTGAAGTTCAAGTTATTGTAGCCCATAATTGGCGAATAAATTATTAGAGAGAGAGAGAGAGAAAGTGAGAGCCTGCTGCAACTCTGGGCAGTTGTATCTCGTCTACATGTTGGGAATTTTGGGTTGTTTATATTCCTCACGTACTATAAACCACTTCCAAAAGTTCTTCCTATAATTACTATCCTTTTTATTATGCTAAACTAATAATAAAAAAACATGGTCATTACTTTGGGTGATAATTAGTTTCGAATAAGTAAAGCGCTGTTGTAAAAATAAGTGTAAAAGCGGTGGCCCCATTCTTTGCTTGGAAAATTTGTATACTTCGATTAAGAACGTGCAGATGTGTACCTATGGATAAATAGCAGCATAAGACTAGGGTTTTGCTTTTCTCGCTTGTTAAGAGCCGACTGCCAACAATAAGATTTCAGTGCAGATAAATGCTAAGTGCTTCTTTGCAATACAATTTGGTAAGTTGCTATAGTTTGTATGACATAATTCGACCTGGTTCCCATGCGATACCACACCGAAACAGCATTAGGTAAGCATAATACAGTTATCGAGAAAAAATGACGCTGTTTGTTTCTGAAAGGACTGGCCATTTTGAGCTGACGAGATCCCAGCACAGCGAGCTTCCCTTTTGAAAAACAAAATCTAAGCTTAATGTTTAAGCTTACGGCGATGAGGCAACGAAGATATTCTCGACAGCAGGCACATTGGATGTCCTGTTAAGAATATCTAAGTACATCACGAATTTGCTTTTTTATCGAACCTTCATATCAATGCAGAAGATCATCTCCGTCAAATTACCCTATCATGCTTATCGGTAAACAACCTGTCCCTTCTAGAGTGTAATGGGACTTTTAAAATACAATATCGCTACCGAAAATTCAACATATTTTCATCCCTGTAAAATGCATTATCTAGATCTGCAAGACTAGATGATTCTGTTCGTCTGGTCTTTTCATTAGTGAGTGGTGTTCGTAATTCCCATATTCATCTCGTAGTCCTAAATGATAGGTTTTTGGGCTAAACCTTATTATACCCCCCAGGTACCTTAAGTACTTTTTTTTTTTTTTTTTTTTTTGTACTAAGGAAAAAACAGAAATCAATGCCGACGTACGAGATCATTGAAAAACATAATTCAAACAAAAGATCTATTTATACTAAAAACGTCGTAAAATTAATTAAATTTAGAGAAACTAATTTAGCTAGAATCTATCGTTCGAAAGATGCGCGCCACTGAAAAATTAAATTTCGCGAATGGATTTTTTGTTTGCTAAAGTCTGTCCTATTATAATGCTGTAGTATCTAAGGCAATGTCTAGCCGTAACATCGAACGTAAAACTCGAACTATTTATTTATAGTTAAGGAAAAATTATTTTAGGGCCATCCGACGGTGTGGCTAGTCTTCAACGCAAACTCAATACATATCATATGAAAACCTTGAAGTGTTTTATAACTAAAAGAGTTGACAATGAGCTAAATACGTTCAGCAGAACTAGTCATCAAACAATGTATAGCATGGCATTTATTAGTTATTACTTGATAGCATAAATAGCTCCATTGTATCTGCACACGTATGGAATAACTTCCTAAGTGTTGTATCTAGGTAGCCCTGTGGGGCAATCGTTTTTTACAGTTAGTAATTTTACCAGTTCATCTAAGCCCTCATGAAGTTAATCGAAGCTATCTGCTTGAAATATATTCGACATCGTAGTTGACACACGGACGTATTTCATGTGTTTTATATTTGGAATTTACGAATTTCCTGGGTTTATTTGTTTGTCCAGACCCCTAAGAAGATTGACGTACTCAGCTTAGATTTTCCTGCCGGTTAAGATCCTCATAATGTATTATTATATGTAATTTCTCCACAGCTGATCTTATCTGCTTCTTCTTAATATTTCCTAAACAAATGTGTTTAGCTTTAAGTCCGCTTTTGTCACGCTTCTATGCCAAATCATGCAATACATTTTTATTACATTTAAATTCTTTTCCGAAAGCATAATATTGTACGTCTACTATTTTAAATTATTTCCAAGAAGCTCTTAAATATACAAGGACTTTACCATCATCGTCTTTAGTCCCTGTGGCGCGTAACCGTACTCGTATCTCTGATAAACTTCATTGGTCGGTATAGCAAGACGTCCACTAGATTTTGTCTAAAGAAGAGGTTCGTAAAAAAAGAACAAAGGTGTAGCTGCGGAGTGCGTATATCAGAATGGGAGCTGTCATATTAACTTCACTACAGTTCGATGATCGTAAATTAATGTCACGTAGTAGGAGGATTTTTCATGTTAACCATTGAACATATTTTCAGCAGTCTTGAAATCATGTAGGTGCAGATTGACCCGCATTGGGTTCAAAGTCGGGCGGGTCTATCCACTGGTCTTTGGAACAAGATTAGATTCCTGCGCACACATAATATGCGCAGCTTTAGGTCAGCCAGACCCAACACACGAGGCACTACCTTAAGCGAAGTTGGCTCAAGTGACGACCTCAAAACGATAATACTTGAGTTTTGCCAAACAACTTACTGAGCGTGAGACAGACGCATCTGCATCATTATAAGTTAGCGGTGTTTCTTCTGCGCCAACCTTCTTTGTTAAGCAGTAGGTCGTCCACTACGGTAGTCAACATTTGAATGCTATTTTTTTCGCTGAAGTATCATGTTTACGCGAAGAAAGTTCGAGCGTACCGTCTCCGCTGCTACGAGCGATTTATAGTACTTGAGGCTGAAACAGCTGCAACAATACGAGGCCCACGCCCATGACTCTGATCGGCATTAGGAAACTCGGAAGACGTAATACGCATCGCATCTTCCTAATGTCAACTGTAATATACGGGTCTTTAAGGCGTTTTGCGTGACATAATAGCTAGCAAAGAGCTTTCTCCTGTTCCATTGCTTTGGCGGCTTCAAGATAATAACAGTAACTGATTTATAAGGGTTATTTATTTTAGAAGAATGTATGCACAGATGAGATCCTTTGGATTCAAAGCAAAACTATACATGTTTACACATTCGACAATAGCAACAAACTAACCGAATGGTAAGAATCACAGCTTGTTCTAGCAAGATGAAGGGAAATGCCAGCTCTGTGTTGAAATCGAAAGAGCAGGAGGATACGGGCAGCTAGTATACAAATTAAACTTGGTTCCTCTATTTCATTTTCATGCCGATAAACAGGTGCCATGTAGAGAAAACTAGAATATCTACATAGTCGCAAGGGTACAGCTCTTCAATCGAAGGGCCATCTTACCAGCTCCACTAGAAAATGGGAGAAGTGGTCACATGCCACATCTTAACCGTCTTCAAAAGAGCTTTATTTTTGCGAGTTGACTACTTACCTCGTAGCTTCGTTGTATAAGAGTGTATGATCGTTCCCAAAATGGTGGGCATCCGCCGAGGCCCAAGTTAACTTCAGATACATCGGCTTCATTTTTCTCGCTTTACGTCTCTCACACACCGCTCTCGTATGTTTACTCTTTTCATACTGAGATAACAGCCCCGGTAGACTAACTAGTGAACCTGCTAGGTAGTCATCTAAGAGGCCCAATCGACCGTCTATAGTAGATATTCCGATGATTACTGAATGGATTTAGAGATCAAGGTCAATTAGAATCCTTCGCGCCCAAATAGTAATGTGCCGAAATGTGAGGAAGGGCTCGAAAACTCTGACTTTTAGGAAAAAAAAAAACCACAATTTTTCATTATGTCAAAAATAAAGCAATATGTACTGTAGACCCAAATTTTGATATTGTATACAGGAAGACAAGAAATTAGCAATGTAAAGTATGGTGAAATTAATTGTATGGTGACTCAACCCGCCCGAAATGATGAGTGGGAACACTGATTACAGCTATGAATAGAGAATGGCCACTAGGTTTTTCGCGTCTACCAGTACAAGCAAGCTGCCCTAGGTAGCAAGTCTACAAGAACGAAGCTACGAGTAGAAAATAATGTCACACTAAATTAAAACCTTTAAGAAACTGACATGTCCAGACATTTGCTACACGACGTGTAAACCCTATATCGGCGGCACTAGTTGAACATAAACAAAGTTGCTTACTTCCAAAGTCTGCCCAACGTTTTTGAAAGTTCCGCGTTATGTAGGCTTTTGTGATGATCGGATAATTTACGGCGGGCAGCCTGGGCCCATACCATGAACGCGTTCATGGGTCGCTTGATATGCAATCGTTTTTTTTGCGACGCTAGCGAAGGTTTACGGATCGCCGAGACTGGCAGCACGAGGGTCCAATCGAATCCCGATAGGACGCGTTCAACCGCTGATTCGACATCAGCCACCGGTGATACCATTGCCGTTGGAATGAGCGATGAGGTTTCCATTGTCTGGAATTGCCAACGAAGTCCAGAAATGAGAGGAACGTTTTACTGAGGTAATCCGTTAGGTCGACTGAACTGCTAATTATTTCGGTGACTTAGTACATATATTGAATTGTGTAAGCATCTATCCAAACCAACACACCCATACACGCATATATAAATAAACAAGTTTTAAAGAAGCGCTTCTACTCGGATGTCCCAGGATGGCACTTATGATGGAATGATTCTTATCTTTCCTTGATTGTATTTAATAAAAACAGAGGTAGAGTAGGATACCGCTCGATCTAATCATTAGCAGCAATCTTGTTCAATCTCAGATAAATCTTGCTTCAGTCAGTTATTGTTAAGACCACAGCGGAGGCCGATCAGGCCACACGACGTTATCATCCACTACGTCCTAATATGGTCGTACGCTGATGATACAATGTGCCTACAAACAAATCAAGATTATTCATAGCAATTGATTTTGTCTCATACAGCGGCATATATTTACATTGTTTGTGGTTCAGCACGTTCAGATGAGCCATGAACTTGTGGAATATACCGCTCAAGCCTGCATCGACCCCGACACATTAACTGGTACAAAATAAACCCGAATGACTTGGAGTACGACAGAAGTGCGATAGCTGTCGCCGTAGTGTGTGCTTTACAGCGACGGGCTTTTCCGGCACCATGTCCTTCGAAGCTCGCTTCTACCTTTGGCTCTCGCCGTCTGACGTAACACCACTTTGTCTGTGATTATTGATCAGCTCATTCACCCGGTTTTTCTAGTGCTAGGTAAGGACAACGTTCGTGTTCTACACTGCATCTACGACGACTCTTTCACGGTCGGGGCGACGGGAACGCTGATGACCCTAACTTCAGCACCGTCCTCGATGAGAGGCTTAAGCCGACAGCGCACCGATCGACACTCGAACACAACAATACCCAAACGACACACTTCCACAACAAGGACAGGAGTAAGGCCAGCAGGAGCAGCAGGCGTGCGCCAAAGAACAGGTAAAAACAACCACAAACGGCTAACAATTACGACAGTGGCAAAGGCTTTACGCACATCAACAAGCGGCAGAACATCAGCAGCGGAGGCAGCTGCTGCTTAAATATAAGTATGAACGACAGTTTGCGTTCGGCCCCATCTCTAACAACACTGTCCCGCAGATTATGTGGGGCACGGAACCCACAGAACTGAAACGACGGCAAGAAGTTGTCGCGGCTACTCGAAGTAACTGCAGCATTGATAATATTGGTTGTACTCGTTGTTGTATAAGTGCAAGAGTCGCTTGTCACAGTGTTGTTACGATATTGATACTGCTGTTGCTGCTAGAGGCAGCGTGCTTCATAGAAGGCGCGTGCTGTATGCTTCGAGCACACTGACCGGGGAGAACAACGCCAACTCGTCATCCTCCTTCTTTTCGCAATTCTTTGTGTGCAGCAGCAATCTACGAAGGTCCACGAATCGGCCGTAGGCTCGATCAATTTTGTCTGTTCAGGCGAAACTGGACGCAATCGTCCAAAGCCTCTTCCACTGGAAAGGGAAAGGCGTCCACTGCGACTACCCGCAACTACACGTCACACGAAACTTCAGCGGACATAGGCCCTGCGATTAGAAGGCTGGGATGGTCAAGCAGCAGCGTATACAACAACAAATGAGATGCAGTGGCCCATACGATATAGACAATATTCGTTGGCACGATCACGATTTTTGCTGCGAGAGATACAAGCGTACCTGGTTGGTGTGCGTCAGGACTGTCGTCTAACGCTGGCCAGCACTGCGCGACACAGCGCTTGAACAACAGCCGACTTTGTTCACTAGGCTATTAGTGACGCTGGCTGTAAAGGTGCCAGCAGCAATAGGCTCTTCTTCTTTCTGGCTGGAAGAAAATTGTGCTAGACGCACGTCGTTTTCGTCTTACAGACAGCGGCGACAGTGGCTACCACAGCAGTAATAGTAGTAAGCGTGCATCTCAGTTGACGCTGTTAAAATTAACAGCAGTAGATAAGTGTTAGCACGAGTGCTGTGGAGGTTGATGCGTCTACTGGCGGGGTTACGCCTCAGTAGAATTACGGTGGTGTTCAGCTAATCTTCATAGGCCATAGCTGTACATCGTCTTCTTTCTCCATCTCCGCTTCCTACCGTCTCCGTCCTCCCAGATTCTGTCCTGTATTGGCTTTGGGCGGCCAGAGTAACGCGAGAGAAATAGCCATATATATGTAGATATATATATAGAGACAGAGAGAGAAAGGGGAATCAACACGTATCGGCGCGCTCAGTGCTGTGGTGTTTCCCGTCGCCGGTCGCGTTTGTATAGCTCGCTCTTTCGCCCCGTCTCCCGTTCTCCTGCTTCGTTGGACTCTTGTCTGCGGCCGTGACTGCCCCTGGCGGCGCCGCCGCCGTCGCGACAGCTGCCGTGATCGTCAACAGCACATTGGCACACAGTCTTAAGAAAGCATACATTCTGCAGCCTAGCTAGATATCCAGCAGCACCGTAAGAGCTGTCGTCTCGACGCTCGTAGGCGCACATGGTCTACAAAGTGGTAGCAGGTAGACAGACCGCTTGGTGGTGGAACCGGTATTCGTGGTTGGCCTATTGCGTATGCTGGTGAGAGACCGGAGTCGATTCATCCAGCCAGGCATTCGGTGAAGCAGCGTTGTGGCCGCCGTCGCAACGATCACTACCGCTGCAACTGCTACGACAGCCAATCGACGACTGCATTTTCGCGAGGAAGTTGTTGCTGGTGCTATTTTTTGTTCATCTGTTGACTCTCCAGCACTTTTTTCTTTCGGCTCACCAGCGTCTCCGTTTCGTCCCTCTTTCTTTTCGTTCATATCGAAACCGGCGGCAATACAAGCACTGCGATGAGGCTAATGGCGCCACCGTTACTGCGGACGACGCTCACAGGTTGGTTACCCTAACGTGACATATGCTGCTGGTATAATGCGAACCCCGCATTACTGTCAGTCTGGCAGGCAACGTTAGCACTCGCTGGATGACAGGCCCGAGTCAACGTATGCTACGCGCAAGACGCCGACAGGAGGCTGGCATGGCAGGGAGAAGTAAAGAGAGATGATACTCTATGTCTTCAAGAATCCCGAGAGTAACTAGCAGACGGCGAAGCCGGCCGGCCGGCCGGCAGGCAGGCAGGCAGGTAGGTCTGGCTGCCTGCGTCGCTTGCTGTCTGGGGCAAGGGGCGGGCACTCGAGAAAGCGAGACATTCGCCTGTGCTTCCTAAGCAGCTAGCTGATTTGTGGACGCTAGCCGCTGCACTGACAATGGGCGGACCGAAACAGCTAATGAGATGTAGACAGAGTCGCAGGTGGCGCTGATGTTGGGCCAGCCAGAAGACGCCGGGAAGATTGCTCCGCGTCTGCAGCACCTGACGTTTCCCGCGAGCAACACCAAAAGGACACCAAAGGACAGGGCGAAAAACAACGGAAGGCGCGCACAAGCGAAGCGGTTCGCGCGCGCTCATCACTGTCTGTCCTCGTGATGGGATTGGCAACGACTATTGAGAAGCACAGGCTCCGCGGAGACATAACAGCAGCGGCTGCGGTGGCAGTGACGGCAGTCAACCATGAAAACTCGAGTCGCTGTAACCACAGTAGTAGTAGTAGTAGTAGTAGTAGATAGTGATGTGATTAATTGTCATTAAGCTATTCTCGTCCAAATCGAGAGCGATGGCTGTTGTTTCGACTGCTGCCACCACTAATCAAAGTAGAACAATTCACGATAAGTGAATGGAAGCATGACTTTCGTCGGGACCTAGTTGTCAGCCAAATCGGCATGAGCCCCGTCCGGCGTTTCTATCTCGGCGTTTTAGCAGGACGATTGTTCTTCGCACTAGAAGATAGCAGTGCTTATATTTCAGTAGCAGAGTTACGTTGCGGAGGTGGTAAAAACGGTGATAAAACGAGATAGTGCAGCTGGCTGACCGTCGAGAGAACTCAAATAGGAAGGTGCTGTCGCAGCTAGAGGATAATGATTTCCAGAAGACGGATTTATCCTGATGATGCCGATGCAGGAAATGGCAGTACAATCCGCGTATTGAGAAGTCCGGCTGAACTGGGATACAGCTAGCAGGCGACTCAATAAATTAACATCCATCTGAACGAATGGCTGACAAAAAGGTGCACCTAATCAGGCAACGTGGGTCTATTTCAAGCATTAAGAACTTGCTCGGTTCATCATATTTGTAAGAGATCCGTCTACTATTTGTATATATAATATCTCTTTTACCTTCAAAAGTTTTAGCAACAACTTACAATTGATATTTAATATGTAGATAAACGTCTATGAGTTTTCTCCAAATTCAAGCCACTAAGTATGCTAAACATGCGACAAACGCTTAGTTAATGCGTTCAAAAACTAAAGATAACAATAATGTCACGTATTGTCCCATAAGTCTAATAGAAAACAAATAATCGTACCTACCAAATGGGTCTCTATGTGTAGAATGCTCTAGTGTCCAAGCGACCCCATAGTCGGCCCAGATTTTGATGAAAAATTCAACCTGAGACTTAGCTTGACGATGTATATATATATATATATATATGCATACATATGGAACATGGTTGCAATTTACGGTAATATTCCATCATACATAGTAATGATCAGAAATGAAAGTTTACATCATTATGTAGATCGGAACAGACAGGTCGTGTGCAAGCGGTAATAACCTGTCAGAAGTTAGCGACGACAAATACAATTTTCTACATTCACTCATGCATTGAATTAGATTCGGCTAGAATGGAACGCAAGCTTCTAAGTTACCTACACTTCGACAGATCTTATATTGCAAACACATCTTCAAATACCAAATTGAAAAGAAGGGTAGCTTGCAATATCAATTAACTGAGAAGGCCTTTCCCCCTGCTGGCCTAACGATTCTCCAAGTTCGATATATGTCAGCTGCAGCCTCAATTATAGATTAATAACAACAACCGAGGGCGTCTAAAATGTGCTGCGTAATGATTTTGTATGAGATCTCAATTTCTGCTTAACAGATTCCAAATACTGAAAGGGTCTCCATGGCTTTGTATTAAAAATCGTGATTAAATTCCACGTACCTCATCACCTATTCGAAAACTGAATGGATCTAATGTTTAACACACGTGTTCTCGGTATTATGCTTATTCTGCTCCATCTCAAGTTGATGAAGGGCATTTATTTTGCACCTTATCTTCCTTTCTTCATTAGAGAGTGCATACTTAACCTAATGAAAAAACTCGCTCGATACTTTCCGACGAATTTGCTTCATTTTCAATTTCCATAAATTTATATCACTGTTGTAAGAAAGAAACTGAACAGTAAAGCCTCAGACTATGCACATGGATATATGTTAAATATAATTATATAGATATTATAGGAGAGTGATGATTTCGTTGATGCATATTTGAGCTAGTTCGTCCAACGGGGAAAGTATGTTGTCACGATAGATGCTATTAAGCGTTTTTGCTCTTCATAACAGTGTCCTAACGAGATTATCGTCTGTTTTTTTTCTATGTCCAAGCAAGCAACTTAAGGCTACAGACGGGGGAACAAATAGAAACAACATCAAAGCGAAGATGACAGAGATGTCGTAGAATCAGAAACCATCAACACGCGTCAGTGGCGGTCGACGCGTTTCGTCTGACATCAGCGTGAAATACGTCCTTGTCGAACATTGAGGTGCAGCGCAGGCCAGCTCTGCTCGTACGAAACTCGTATATCAATCGATTTGACAATCTTTATGTTTTAGAATTTGGGAGCAAAGAGGGTTGGTCAGACGTTTTCGTCGTGTTTTTTTCTTTCTAAGCTAGCAGCACCAACGCACCTACTGAGCCCGTCGATAACGGAAGAAAGCACATCCGTGTGAATGAGTCTACCAAATGGACGAATGTCTTACTTACGTAAGCTTAAGTTCAAGATAGGACGAGACGAAAGGCGGTGAAGGTAACAGACTCTGGCGTAGCGAAGTTGAAATGCGTTCGTATCTTGGACAAAAACGATGGCATAACGCCGGCAACTTAACTTTGAGAATCTGTGTGTCTGATTTGCCTCAGTGGGATTAATGATAACAGCTGGAAATGTACCCCGCACTGTAGGCGCAATAGGTCTGCTCGTTTGCGTCAGTCTATATAACCATTTGAAGAGCTAAACGTACCTCTACACACACACATAACATATGCACATCTATATGAATGAATATGGCAATAAATCATGGTATTTTGTTTGCTTAAGTTTTTTTTTTTAACAGATTTCGATTGAAGCAAAAGGATTTACCTTCACATAAAACCTACTTACCCCCTAATACAGGAGCGGAATAACCTGCCCCGCCTAGTTTCTCGTAAGCGAATTTTCGTAGTTTCTAAACCATCTGGTCGAAAAGAAAAACACCGAGAAAGAGCATCTATAACATCAAACCAACTATTTTATTTACACATCACTTTATTGCTAAATAATCAGTTATAGGGATCGAAGCGGTGACTCGTTATTGTGACCACTGCGATCAGAAACAACATTTACATAGCTGTACATATGTATATAACAGTAATTCCATTAGTCAGGATACATCTCTTCCGACAAGTGCTTTCTTGTTAATATCTTGACTTACATGTAAAACGGCCGTTATCTTACAAAATAGTTAAAAAAAAAAATAAATTCATAATTCTCAAGACGTGTGTGTATGGTCATAAACGGAAGACAACATCTTCATTTCAGCTGGTGTCGTTACCAGATATTATGCTTGTGTGGTAATTCTAGGTAGGCTAATAGGGCAACTAAAATCGTATGACATCTTTACTTGGCATGTAAACAAAGTACCGATGTTTCGACATAGCCCTCTATAGTATTTTGACGTCATTATGTTTTCGTCTGAAGTATCGTTCGCTTTTTTTATAGCGCGTATGGTGTCCGACTCGGGAACGCCGGAGAAGGACCACGCTTGGTTGTATAAGTTCTGAACAAGTCGATTCTATTAGAAATTTATCGACTGCGTGTCTGATGTGCTTGCGACTAGACAAAATACCAATGATGCATAACAATAGGTACACTGATAAAACAAAGGTATTTGACTAGCCGTTTTGTCTGATATTGAAGCTAAGTTTCACCTGTGAATTCATTCGGTATCAAACCTATTTTAGCCTGCTAGTCCTAATGTCCTACAGGCTTGAAGGAAGACTTACTGTATGAGGTTTTAGTTAAGGTCAAATGTAATATATTTATGAACACGTTAAGCTGTAGGAAGAATGCCAAATAAAGACAATGTATTGGTACTTAGCTAGCTTTTTAGCAGAGGGGTCCGATCGAAACCTCTTGGCACATGTAAAAAATTGCTTATGCAAGGTTCTTGGAGGCACATCACTCGTATGAGATGGGATCGATGATTGGCCTTTGAAGCATTCTGCTTAAGTGGGTAGTTAAACAGCGTTATGGCCTACAGCAGTAAATGCAAACAAAGATATTATTGACTAGGTAATTTCGGTGGATTTCTTTAGCCAAGAACATAAACATAATTCAGCTCTTCTATACGATCAAAACCGCTGCACTATAATTCATCTGCTCACACGTTTACCCGAGCTGTAATGTTTATGTTTGCCTTGGAATGGCAAAACGTAGCCCAGGCAAACTTTTCTGTTATTGTAGCAGCGTCCTGAAAACTCTTCCGAGGTAACGACCCAGCTAACAAAGTTTCCAAGCAGCATAGTTTCTATTATGCAGGTATAGAAGGTTCGCTTCTTTTCAGCTATATCAATGTCAGTCGAACACAGCCTACTAAGGAATTAAGTATGCTCAATGTGCTTCTAGCTACAAACAGAGGCCCCTCAAGTAGTTTTCAACTACTTGAGGGGCAAGACGTCATTGCGCATGCTCAATCAATGATATTATCATAAATGAAGATGACTATAACAAAAGATATCACTCTATAAAACAATTTCTTCACGTGAATTTCAAGCTGCGTTCTGAGAGACCGCTTCGACCTCATTATTACCCATCGGTCACAGCGAATGGCCGATGTAGTGCGATACAGTTCTAAGTAGCTACACTCTGACAGTGTACACGGTACGAGCTGTCACAGTCAGCAGTTCCTGTTGCGTCCTACTATCTCAAAAGATACTTTGTAGCCATTTGCAGAACTCTAACAAGGAGCCACACCACCGTCGGCACAACGACAGTCAATATCACGCACAAATAGTATCGGCCACGAAATATATCTTATCGACCGGCTTCGTCCACGTGCTAAGGACCGCGTCAATAGCCGAGGTCAACAACAGTAGGACAACAATTCCTACTAAAATATTTGCTTCAACGTTCGGCCTGTAGTTTGACTGGAGCGGTCGCTCTGGCCTGTCCCCGCGCGATCGTCAATTACCATCATTTTTCTCGTTCTTTATTTGTACTGCGCGCGTTTTGTGCTGATTCGTGTATTGGTCTGTACATGACCGGTTCGTAAGAGGTCGCACACCACCACAGCATTAACATATTATATCTCCTAGATGGCAGCAAATCTAAACTGAAGCAGGTAACTGCATCTTTATTGTACTGTCTATCTTCTTGTTACAGGTAGATGAAAGGTATATACCGTATTATTGGCTGTTTTCCGCCTAACAAGTGCGGCCACTGCCATATTAGTCTGTGATGCAAGTATATGAAGGATTATTGCCTTTATATTATTATAGTATTTGTCCAGCTATGTATTCGAAACGGCGGTTAATCCTGGTAAAAGCTGCATGAGCACTTTTGACTAGCAGGATATTATATGATTTCTGAATTGAACTACTCTCAGATCAAGTAAAAAAGGAGACGCTTTTGAGATCTGTGGGAGCAACATCACCCTCTTTAGGTAAGAACGTTTTGAAGGAATTTCGCTGAACCTTTACGGTGGAGCTGGGGGGCGCAATCGAAGTAGGCCTGCATTGTTGAAAAAAAACCAGAAGAAATTTACGTGGCGAAAAAAGTAAGCTCACGGTTGAAGCGCAGTGGAGTAGGGGTATATCTTAAAAGCAACAGTGGCGCCGTTCAGTGTCATTCGTTGCCGCATAAATAATTAAAGTCATAAAAATAGAAATAAAGCAAGGTTCTCCAATCGTCCCCTGTTACTCTCGATTTCTAGAGCTCAGACTCAGAGACGTAGGCGCCAGTTCTGGCTCATGGTCATTGCCTAGCTGGAACAGTCAGTGTGGTGATGCCTTCATTTTGCAATAGTAAATACAACCTATAATTATCCTCGATGGCCTATTTCTTCTTCGTATTTAAATTACTATTGGCATACCTATTTCCACCTCAGCCTCAGCTGCCTACGTATGCATTCGAAGGTGGAACGAGAGACCTTACGGTTGGCTAAGGACACGCCCTGCAGTAAAAAAACAACAAGGTCATTATTTCAATTGAAAATGATTCAAACTCGTTTTAATCGAAGGTCTACCAGATTTCTCTGACAGCGTAAAACTATTGTAAGTAATCAGTAACTATTGTCTTAGTAATCTGTGCGATACAGCATTGTTTTTTGTATCGAACGTATTCTAGCTCCATAGTCCTTTTTCGGTCAAGGTAGTTGAGAAATATCAGTCCTTCTCCATTATTCCATTTTTGTGCACGCAATATGACCGGTTCAGGGAAAAAGGATAGGGCAGTTCTCCTATACTCGATATAGTTTATTAACGCCGATCACCCAGCATCAACAATATAATATAGATACAAGGTGTGTATAGCTATTTAGTGCGGTTCACTTTATTTGGTAGTTTCCGAGCAGCACGAATCCAGCGATCATTGCGTGAGATAATAACGTGTTCTCCATTGTTGCTAGTCGAACAAATGAAGATATGTTCAGATGTCAACTTGAAGATCGCTTTGATGCACATAGAAACAAGGTTTCCAAAAGACTTTTTTGACGCTATGCTGTAGTAGACGCGTGTGAAGACTAATATATATATATATATAATATATATATATATATAGAAACTTCATAGCTGCTATGAAATCAACTGAACCAGGCATCTTTTGTAGCTAATACTAGTCTTATTAATGCACGTGTTTTTGTGAACAAGGTCTAAAATGCCAGATGTCAAGGGCTGCCACAGCCGGCGTTATACCGGAACCCTGTTTACGCATGTGTTATTATCAGTTGATCTGTATTCTCAGGAAAGTGTCCGAAGTTTCAACCGGAATGCTGAATTCCCCTTTGAGACTCGCGGCAACGTTCCCACTTGACAATCTCTGCAATGTTAGACGATTTAATCTTGACAAATGGCTTTATTAGCCTGCCTGCCTGCGTCTGTGTGTGCGAATTTACTTGTATATCTTATATTATAAAAAAATGTATAGCCGACACCTCCGACGACGAAAGACTTATAGTCTTTCTAATTTTTGCGATGCGACCATCGGTTGTACACGCCAAAACGGCCCATTTAAGATGCACACGGTATATAGTACGGTAATGGTAGTGCTATGCTTTGCATGATAATGTCATGTCTGACTACCTGTCTTCATTTCCTTTTTTCAGTATAATATTTTATTCCTATTTCTTGATTACTCGTCCAGGCACACAAATTCATTTGAAGCATTCCGTGGCCAGCAAACAATAATATGCTTCACAATCCAATGTATCCTGGACAGTATATCTACCTGTATGTTCTAAACGTATAAATACTACATAAAAGATGTTTTGTCAAAATAAATTCGCTTCTGCGGTCTGGGTGGCGAACCCAGACCTTTTTCTTTGACCCAAAACATTTTCATAAACAAACAAGTTACCAGTGCTTGGTCATGGAGGCGAATGGGACAACACGATGCTGTGCCTATCATCGTATGCCTTTGTAATCCCAGTGGCGACTATATGAAATAGTAGATGTTAAAACGATGGCTTGTAGGAGTATCGTGTCCAATCCTCCTAAGAGAGTTCCTAGAAAAAAAACACAAGTTAGCTATTGTTAGATTGCAGGAGAAACATTTCACTAGGTCTTAAGGCCAGTGGATTAACATGTAGGGGGCAACAACATCAAGAAGAGATATTTCGTGCCCGACTCTCAGCCTGGAGAGTGCTCCACAGCTTCCGATTGTAAAGTGTGTATCTTTTCGGGCACGACGACGAAAGTCATAAGATATGAGCGCTTAGCACAGTCGTTACACGGTCTCTAAATATGAGTCCCTCCAGTATCAGCGGTACATTCAAAATTATAACTTATCACGATTGGAAAAGATATTTAAAAAAAATTGTATCCAGATTTGAGCGTCTGACCTATTCAGAACGACCTTATGATGCTAGCCACAGCCATTCGCAAAGCATCAATATCACCCGTTCTACAAGTGAGTACAAATAAAAAAAATCAATTTGATATGATTGAATATGATTTATCTATCCTACTAGTATTCTTTATTTTTTTTTTCTATGACGTGCAGTAAAATACCGCCCATTTGGAGATACAATAAACTACTGGAAAAATCTTTCGAGGGTATCTGACTCAGTTATAAAGATCGAAATAGAAATGTCAGCATGCAGCACCCGGTCTGAAACACAGCCCACATCTTAACAATGTCAGCCTATCGGCCCATTTTTGTGTGGGTGCATATTGACTTGTGGTAGAATCACATGTAGGTTTACATACCGTACACATCACTGTTTTTAAATTTCTCTCTGTTCGATACACAAAACAACTTGCTCGTTTTCTTTATTGAAAAGTGACCTAATGTGCTTCATTACGATACGTGACTCCATTGATGGCTGTACGCTTGTGCGGGTTGTTCTTCTAGAAGCGGTCGGCGCGACACGGTGCCTGTCGCTTAAATCTACATAGACGTTATCATTAAATACATTCAGAACGGGAGTCCTTGATGCATTTGGCATGGGTACAGGAAGAGGGTTCCTATCTCCGCTGTCCTCTAGTAAACGAAACCGGATCAATCATCAGTTAGAAAGTAACGTCGAACATAATCGGTATAAAGCGCGGATCGATCGAACACCACAACGAATCGTCTTATTCATGACTCCCGAGGGACAGATCTGTTGAAGGCGCTGAGGCTCGAACCAGCTGGAGAGAAGTACTATATCGATAGGACCACGATCGACTACTAACAACGACGAACAAATGATAGATAGTTTGTCTAGAGGCGTTGATTGTCAACGACAATTTTTGCTGATAACACGAGCTCGTGTTATTATTATTCAGTTTCCTACAAATCGTTATAATAAGATATCTATAACACTGGTTCTCCGAGATATATCTCGCAGTACGTGGGCCTTACGTCGCTCCGATAGATTTAACGATGAAATAAGTAATAAACGTTTTTATAGGCGAAGCATGAGAAATATTGATAGGATGAATGGATGTTAAGCATTGCGCTATTGGACCTTCATACAATCATTGACACCTCATTTTTGTTAAAGAAAGCAATTCAAAAGTGTGAAGAGAAATTTAGTTCCGCTTCATTCTATAATATTGTACAAATCCGCTTCGGAATATTAGGTTGGTATCAGGCAGGATGGGTTTCATTGGCCCCAAAGTTATCGGACGGTGGCGATAACGCTTTACGTAAAGCAGCTAGTTCAGAAAAATTCTAGTTTGTCTTGCTCAACCTTGTAACTTCGAGCTAAAAAGCCTAGTAGTATTTTTTTTTTTACCTGTCTTGCCAGGTGCCATGTGTCGAAGGACGCAAGGTGAGGTTCGTTGACAAAATTCCTACCTGAACGCTGAAGCTAACTTTACTGTCGTTGCGTTCAGCGTGACCGAGCACTGCTACAACATCTTTCGGCCATTTCTACAAGAAAGAATTTTATCACGTTTCATCTATAGCCATTCCACTTCGCAAAATGTCGAAGCATTTGAATGAAGCGAAAAGGATCCATTAGAACAATTTTAGATGGACGTGTACCTATTCAAGATATGACAACAGTGCAACAGAGAGCGAAATTTTGCTAGAGTTGAACCTTTCGTGCGATTTGCACGGACGAAGCCCTGCTATCAAGATAATGGCTTGTAGCTCGATACCTGAAGCGTATGAAGTGACACCGTTTGTAGCGTTCGTACAAACGTGCAACCCGTTATGCAGACGTTTAGATGTGACGCCAGTGATAATAGTTTCTTTCGGTGCGCTCTCTTCGTTCAAATAACGTTCCTTTCGCTTCGGTTCAGCGTTACGATGACGGCGTATCGTTCGAAGCTTGATTCGCTGAAGCGGCTTGACTAGTGCGCGCTTTCTGTCACTCACCGTATTGCATCTCAGTCCGTGCGCCAGTATCCTTCTTTTTATCCATTGAGAGCTCCAGAACATTGCCGTTCAATTGTGTAGGCTGGTAGGGGTGAGTAGGAGGTGGACAGTCATATCATTTTCGTGGGGAATTTGTGTCGTTCACTTACCTACCGTCCACTAACCGGCAATTGGGCGTCATTGGTCGTTTCGGGCAGCTTCAACGGTGAGATATCCGGGTGATGACAGCAAAAACTGTTATGCTCCGCGTTAGTACGATACATTTGCCAACGGCCCACTCGTAGACACACACGCGCATAGGAGACGTACACTCTAAACGATGATAGTCCTCTTTACTAACAGTTCTTTAGCGGTCCACGAGAGTACGGGACTCCTATTTATTGATAGATAAACGCGCGTAAACACTTGCTCGGGCAGGCTTGTTTTCCGTAAAAAGGCAGCACAAACACTAGGTAAAAACACGTGACAACCGACGGCTGTCAGACGCTGGGAGACATTGGTAACTAGGCTGAGCAAATTCAGCGGTTTTATCAAAAATTGAGGGTTTGTGTAGGCACTAAAGCGGACCTGCAGACGGGGTGAACTGTCTCAATGTAAAGGTGTCGGTTGACTATCTTCAAGCGTCTATAGGTAGACACATCTGTGTGTTTGTGTGTGTCTCCGGGCTTGAGTATTTGCGTCAGTCAGAGAGAGAACAAATCAAAACGTCGGAGCAGTGGAAAGAAGACCAGGCAAACGCCGTGTGCCGAAGGGGCGGATACTGAACAGTGCGCGTGTAGATACGTGTCCATTAGATAGAACCAGCAATCACGACCATTCATCAACAATTCAAAGAGAAAAAGATCGGGATTCAATGAGAGATAGCCGTAGTATTCAGAGTGCTAAACATGTTTCAGCAATGACAATGTCTACAAGCTCTTAGTTACGACCGAGCCTGTTGTCCCGTACGATCAGACAGACAGACAGTCAGTCGATTTCTAATGAGTGAATACGGTCGGAATCACTCTTTGCTAGCTTACAATCATGGTGAACCCATAGCACCATGCCATAAGCGAACAATTGTCAAGTGGAACTGCAAATACAAACTGAAAATGCGATTGCTTTGCAAAAAAATATATACCATTTTGCTTTTATTCAATGTATTTTTAGTAAAAGACAAATGCGCCGACGTTCTTAAACCCTATTCGCTCTTTGAGGTAGTTTATTTTAGAAGAGTGATTATGATTTGTTATTGTCGGGACACATGTACATGTATATATATACATGTATATATATATATATATATATATAGATATATGTATATATATATATATATATATATATATATATATATATATATATGTATATATGTATATATAGACACTGAACGCTACTCAAGTTTCGGAGTTGTTCAGATCACCAGTTGCGCTTGAAGGGCCTACTAGAACTGCTACCGGCAACCTTAAAAGGTGCTATATGTCTCAATGACCTCTGCAGGACAAGGATGATATCTTTCATCGATATCTCGAGCAGATCTACGTTGGCCATACCGGCTTACTGTTCATGGGCTTTTGATAGGATGTTCACTTCTGGTCGGACTAGAGCACTTCGCTAGACAGGCATTCATTCCATTTCTAGAAAGTGTCATTGATCCGATGATGAACTGAAGCGTCACATCTCGAATATGTACGACAACCTGTAGACGAAAGTTACGGCGTTCTACCGTATCGATGTCAGCAGATCCAAATATCCAAGAAGGTCCTTTGGGCGCGAGCCGGCATCCGTTAAGCTCTTAAGAAAGTCGACCGCCTCGAGCTCCACTCACACCGCGCTCAAAGTATCGCTGCCGCTTTCCCCTCCGCTAGTTCTCTCCGGACCTTTGAAGTGTGTTCTTCCGAACGATGCGCCGACTTCCAGATGCGCTTACGGCAAAAGAGCACAAGGCGCGATATACGCTCGCTTTAGAAACTCGAGCCTCTCACCCCGTTTGCTGTTGCTCCCCCGTGCAGACATGTCTGTTCCGTCGTTAACACAGAAGTTACTCCGTCTGGATGAACAGCCTGCTCTATAGTTGACTAGAGTGTTTAAACGGTCGTAAAATGTTCTGGGCGTGGCTGCTGTTAAAGCGTGATATGTTTATGTGTGTACGTTGATCGCAAACGTTGACAAACTATTTCCCACTAAGGGGAAAATTATCGCGCATAACCAGACGAGAAATGGCGTGCGACGGTCAGGTAAAATGACGGTCTTGTAGGACTTTAGCCTTAAATCACCTGTTGAAGGACGGAGGAAGGCGTGGCGCAGCTAAGCGACGGCGTGATGACTTCGATTGTACAGGGAACATCTTATGCGTGACGGACAAAAGGCAAAATTAGACAAACAGGGCTGATTCCATGCAGAGACGTTTACGCGTTAGCTTGAATTTCGCAGATATTTGAGCACTAACGAAAGTTAAATTAAAATTTTTAGAGAAGTAAACCTTCTGAAAACCTAGCTGACAACTTAAGGTTACGCCTACGTTTTACTTAAGATTTATTGTATCGGCGCTTGATGACGCCGTGTGCGAAGATCTTCATCCGAGGATTTTACTTGTTTTTGTTTACACCACCGACGTAACGCATGGCTTCTAACTTTACTCAGTTGCTACGGTCTACTATAACCACATACTATCTTTTAAATGCTTATCGTCAAGCTATCCAGTAAGCAAGTAGTGACAACATGGAATAAATGTTGCACAGTTATAATGCAGTTACCACATATTGGCTATGTCTGTACACAGATGTAGGTTTCTAGATAATAGATCCTCTTAGATCATACATGCGTCATTAAGGGTATGCAGAAGCGGTTTCAATAGTCTATTTATGCAACGGAAGCTTGCACGCCGGCTTGCGCATAAATCTCTTTAGTTATTAGAGAGCCTGAGAGTAAAGTTAGACTCTGTTAATAGATGGGCCTATATTGGCCTTTCGACGATCATCTATCTGCTTTATTTGCGTAGACGACATTTTAATTTCTATGCGACGCACATTGTCTCCAGGTTTACGTCGTTAACATGGTCTCAGCTTTGTGCATCGATGGCTAGCGTTTGTCCTGTGTGTCCTCATCCCTTTGTGCTGTTTTCTGATGCTGTATTTTTTCTCCGGATCACACACGGCCAACTCCAGCTCTTGTTGTGCTCCATAAAGAGCGTTGTTGTTTGTTAATCGAGCCGCCCACTAATCAAGGCGACAAGCTAGCTCTAGAATGTGCGGCCCGTACCAGCAGCTGATCAGTTTAGAACGAAGCAGAAGATGTTCGTGAGAGGTTACTTCCTGGGTAAGCCGAACTTTCGTTCAGACTCAGTCTGGGACTGATCCACTACTTCCACATCTTGTAGCGCACTCTCGCTGATCGTTTGGGTAGCTGTGATCTCCGAGCGGAGCTGTACGTTCTGCGCCAGTGTTGGCTCGTAGTTCACTTTAAACGTGCGAATATCGCGAGAGAACGAGAGAGACGAGTAGAGGAGGAGACAGCTTGGGCAACGCCATGCACGATCCCATCCGAATGGTCGCTCCGACGACGTTTAGGTTTCCG